GGGTTTGGTGAGTTTGTTGGTTCCGATATCTGTGTCCGCATCGCATCACAAACTTGAAGTCACTTTCTTCTCGTTTGATGAGTTTGCCGGGTCCCGACGCTTTTATCCGCATCGCATCACAAATCTAAAAGCCCGGAGTACCCGGAGTACTCTGTATAACTTGTATACTTGTTCTATTTCCTACCAGTAAACTCAGAAAATTGTTATAACTTTGATTCCGGTGTTTTCAATTCCTTTCTTAATTTAATAGAGATCCAGCCTCATCCAACGAACGGCGCGTAGCAGAGGTGTTCTGCTCAAACAATAGCTAACGAGGCTAGCTATACATGCTAGCGGAAAACAATGTATTCATGCCAGTTACAATGAATGACCGAACGTAGCAGACTACCCGTATAAGATTGCAATTATAAACACGTTATTGCTAGCCTAATATGAACCTTTAGCTTTTGTTCATAGTAGTTTTATTACACTACATTATAGTTGCCGTTCCTCCGAGCTAGCGTTCATATCGTGTTTGCTACCAAGGTAAACAAGAAAGCTAGGTTAGCATATTAGCTGGCAAGCTTACTGTGTTGATTAGATAGATCCACACTCCTACCACAACTACTACTAACGAATCTAAAACAACTAAGTTTCTCTAATATTTTGTGATTTGCATTTGATTTCGTCCAGCCAGATCCTGCCGGACAATACATGACGGGGACGGGACTACCACACTGATGCATCGTCCTAAAAAGCCGCGATAGGCAAGATGCCGACAATGGGGAGGAATGGATGATATACCGTGGCGTGTATATATGTATATTTATGTTCATTTTGTACATTTCTAAAAATAAAGTTTAATGGAAATACTTAGTAGGCCTATCCTTTCTTCCCTGAATTATTTCATTTCTGCTGAAGCTGCAAATCCAAACCACCCTGTGTATTTCTGACTCAGATTTAACGGGATTAACCTTTACGATCATCCTGCTCTGGGCTCTACCTTCCATACATCCTATACATCACTGTGACATGTTTTCAATCTCAAATTACCCAGTGATGGATGTTATCTGAAAATCCTGATGACTTTCGCAGCTCTGGCACAGGAGGAGTTATTGTTCTTCCCCCGCTCCTGAATCAATGTAATATCATCCAACAGGCATACGAGTGCACTGGCAATATTACAATTTGGGAAGATGTACTAGACTAGAGTATTCAAATGATTGTATTCCTTACCAAGGCACTGCATAACATGCTGCATGTTAATGTCTGTTCATGTAGGGATGGCAGACTTATGACCACCATCTGACTTTTTAATCACCCAAAAATATGAATCTGACTGATAAATCAACTGAATGTGTCACACCATCAAAACCATCTGATAGTATCCACCGTTACAAGCTAACGGCTAACGTTAGCCTCCTGGCCCCTTAGCAAACTTAATGACTTTGCAACAGCTCATCCTTCACAGCAGGCATAAATGATTCTGATTTCATTAAAGCCTCTGCAGAGATGAAGATCGGGACTCTTCATTCCAATTTTCCAACTTGACACTCGGATTATTGGCAACACATGTGGATTCATTTAAATATTTTTCAAATCAGACAAGGAAAATATGCTCATCATGCACCCCTGAGCTAACATAATATAAATGTTAATTAAGATATGTGCTGCGAGCTGGGGAAATGAATATTTGCAATAAAGCTCTCCAACTCGTAATATGGAATACAGTATTCGTTTTTTATTTTGTATACCTATATTTTTCAAGTAGGATATACAAAACAATATATGGTTAAGATGGAGCAAGACCTCTCACAAAAAGTGCTGCTTCTAAATTTGTTGTAAAACTGTCTGGAAAATAAGTATATTTTTCCATCACAGTAATACATATGTTTATTGAGAAAATGTAAATATGCAGATCTATATGTAAACACATTGGAGACAATTAAGAATGATTGAAATGAATCTGCCAGAAGATACACACACGCCAGTTGATGGTAGTGCCTCAGACTAAGAAATATATTAAAATGAAAACATATAAACCCATTACTGGAGATGACCAACTGACTGGCAGTAGCAGCCCAAGTGTTAATCTATTTTCTATTCCCACAGTAGTGAAAGTAAAACAAATCAATATTGCAGAAGTTTAACAGCACGGGTGGTGAATTCAAATCGTGTAGCAATTTTCATTCCAAGGCTCACGATCACATGGCTGAATATCTTCAGAAGCCACAGTCATTTCTGTATAAATGAATAAACTCCGGTGCATTAGACAGGGGTGAGACGTTTCCTCATATATAGGTTAAAAGGGACCAGCTGTGTGCGATCATGCCAGCCATGGTGCTGTGAACTTGATACAGCGAGCTAATTGTGTGTGGAATTGTAGTCGGCCCTCATTAACCTTACTGTGTTACCTTTTACTGGGGATAAATGTGGGGTGGGGGGGGGGGGCTTTAAGTCAGCCATCTGTAGCCGCGTAGCTTCCTTTACAGAGTCGCTATCAGAGTGGAAGTGACATACTGAATCCTTTCAAGGACATTTATGTTTTACTCTCACACCATGCAGACCATCTTTGAAGCCACTGTGTACACTCACGGATTTCAATATGGGGAGCTTTTTTATTTGTTCCATGTGTTTTTAATAGTTATTTTATTGAGGCAGTTGTTGATTTTACGATTTAATGTCGCAAAAACTCCTTATGTTTTGATAAATCCAGCACTTTTTTTGTATTGCATGTGTTTTTTTACTATGAAGCCCTTGACATCAGAGGACTGGCAGCTCAGGAAGTGCTGAGGAAATGATTTTCAGCAGCGGACACAATCAAAACAAAATATTCCATGTGGACTTAAAAACCATCCAACTGTGAAAATGCTCTGCGTCACACATGGAACCGGCTTGCAGACACGAGAGCTTCCAGGAGACTGTTGCTGTTTACCAGAACAACTTTCTTCCCAGCTGTGCCATTCAGGACAATGTGGGCAGATTGTAAATGCTGCTCTGCTGACTCAGGGTCAGAATCAGCCTTTAGGTCACGTTGTGTGTTCCAAAGTGAAGCACAAGAACTGGACTGTTTGTTAATCCGACTGAGGGCAGGTTTAACGAATTTGGAGACAGTTAATCGACCTGAAGTACAAGTCCCATATCTGCTGCACAAGTGCCCTTAAGTATTACAGTGATACGACAGCACCTGATGGAGGTGACAATGAACTTTGACCTTCTTGCAAAGACGTCAAACAGAAATAATATTCAACCACACAGATCAACTAAACTCAACTTGTTGGTTTAACTGTTAGTAAAAACATGTGGATGGATTTTCATCAAAGCAAGGAACTCGATCAACTTGTGTTTTCATCAATCTTTGACATAAACATACTGTATAAACTGTTGGAGGAAATCTCAGTCTGTGCCAGTTCCGGACCTCCTCAACACTTTTCTAACAACTTATTCTTTCAGAAAAGGTTCAAAAGAAGTTACTGGAGGCAGACAGAGTACGATGCAAAATAACTTTATTTCATCATAGACAGAAAACAAAGTCCGAGCAGACACCGGGATCATTATATAACAACGTTGTACTAGCAATTTTATCTTGTTCTTTTTTGGTCGACCTTGGTGAAGCAAAGTAAACAGCCTCCACGATTCTTTTTTAGATATTTCCGCATAGGTGTCCTGGCTTCATTCCATGCACTACATTGACCAACACTTGACCTTTTTTAGCACGTGAGAAGGGAGTTTTACTTTTGCCCATTTTCCTGTCGTAAATTAACCTAGACACACACACACACGTATTATAATAAGAGAAAAAATCTACTCTAAACGTAAATAATATTATTTATTTAATCTCAAACACTTTACTAATTTGCTCATTGTTTTGATCAAATTTGATTGATAGCAACTAAACAATTTATCAAAACTTCAACCTGTTTGAATGTAACTAAATCCTGATTGAACTCAATTGTTTCTACTTTAGTTTGACACGCTTCAAATCAATGAGAGGAGAAACAATTTGTCAATCAGTTTCTCTGAAGAATTCAAGAATACCTGAATTGGAAAGTGAAATAATTTAATGCGTTCATTTCATATATCCTGTATTTCATCACATGCTTGCAAGTTTGAGCAGAACGCAAAATAAAGACTTCAACACTCAAATAACAGGGGCAAGGCAGAACTTATACCATTTAGTATGAGTATTTGTGACGTTGATTGGCACATTCTTATAATGATTTACTGCAATTAGTGGGGTGTAGAATGACTTGCCAGAGGTGGATATATGCAGCTGTGGCCAGATGGAATCAGTATGCTTCTCACAGAACAGCGATATTAAAGGGCAGCCAGTGAAACCGGTGCTCTTAGTGAAATACAAGATGACAAGCTGCCTTCATGGTGTCCACTTTTCTGCTGACTGACGCTAATTTGGAGGAGAGAATGGATTTTTAAGTGGCACCCAATAGTGATGCACCAAATATTTACATACATCTTTTCACAACCTATAATTATCATGTCTGCTTTTATGTAAATACCTTAACAATGAAGCCAAAAGCTTCCTTCGCCTTTAGTTCATATTTATTTGTAAAATAAAGTGTTGATCATTCAATAATTTGACTACATAATTATATGACACAAACATTTTATTGACTGAAAGAACACAAATAGTTATCTACAATGACAAGGACTTTTATAGCCGTACAACAGTTGAATTATACTGTTTTTTTTAATACATGAACTGAACATACAAAGTTACAGTAAACATGCCTTTTGATAAAAATATCTTTACAAAAAATGTACATTTCTATACAACAGTTGTCAGTTACACTATCTCTACAAGCCCCATGATTCTGGGTAAAACCTGCAACCACTCCAACAAACTGTCAGTATATCATTTCAGCATTATTTTAAACTCAATAAAAGTTTTTTTTTTCATTTATTTGAAATAATAACAAGAAGGACTATATACAGGGTAAACTTAAAGATGGTTGAGCCAGAAATGTTTTAAAGTGACCCAGATAATTTCCAACAGTTAAAAGCAATGAGGTTTTTATTTATTTTTTGAAGCATTTTTGCAAAATATTTGACACATCACCATACTGCTCAGTAAATAACAGGCTACCAGCAAAAAAGATAAACATGTAGCAGAGCCATTTCCCTTAGACATGTCTTTGGATACAAAAATAGTGCTAAATATTACACATTATCATCATTCACCAGACATTTATTTTGAATGAGCTGCAGGACAGACATTTTTTTTAATGTTTTTTTTTTTCAGGCAGCACTGCCAGGTTTGACTGTTGTGTTTATGAAGTTGTGCAAGGCGACCGTTCCTTCACATTTAATTCATTCTCTGTTAAGAAGGGTCAGTAATACCCCGGCAAAAAACCCCGGTATTTTGGTTTTATTTGCTCAGGTTGTGCGGTCATAAGAAAGGTTCAAAGGTGTTTTGTGGTTCAAAACATTGATCAATTACATTTAAACTCCCCTTAACAAGGTTAGTATTCCCATGTTTTCATGGGGATAAATAGGACATTGAGTCAAAAAGTAACATTGCTGTTGAATTTCTCAAAATGTGTTTTTATGCATCAAGCCCTACATTTATTTTTTTATTACCGAGTGTTTAAAGCGCACACATCTCAAAACTTGTGCAAAAAGAACCACAGTTATCTCCTCTAATAGACAATAGCCATGTTTTTCTTGAAAAAAAACCTTAAAAAAGATTTTAACAGTGAAGTTATAGGAGCAGAGAGAAGTAGAGCTGTTACTCAGCTGCAGTGAGTTTAAGGACAATGATGGAGGTTAATGAGCGTTTAATAAGAAGCTGTATAATTAACGGCTGTGATTAATGTTTTAGCCCACTAGCCTTTTCTTACAACCCATAGCTAACTGACAGTATACCAGGTGTGCCAGCTGATTGGCTGATACACATCATCACATTTATTGATGCCATTGAGCTATCAGCTAGCACACCTGGTGCATGTCAGCATACGTTCCATCTACCTCCTTCTGCGAATACCTTTAACTGAAGGCTTAAGACGAGAAACATGCCTTTGTCAGTGTTGTTTGTCAATTTACTTTTTTGCAAACTGGAACTAAATTGGGCAAACCTGCTGCGAATTATTAACAGTAGAACATGAAGATATCCACTCACTGGTGACATATTTAAATTTGCAGCATATCAATCAGGTTGATTAAAATCACTTAACTGAAGCTGCTCCACATGGCAACAACACAACAACTAATGCCACTTTTGCTGTAACAATGTACATTTCTCCACCGTGGGACTAATAATGAATTTCTGATTCGGATTCTGAATAAATTGGCAGATATAATGAAGTAAACTGCACAAAGTGAGTGGACAAATCACCCAATGCTGGCCAGATTATCTTCCATTTTAGGTATTTTATTAATAGATTAATGGGTTGTATTGTCTCACTACTTGTTTAGGTTTTTAAGGCCAGTGTATCATGTTATACTATAACAGATGTATTCCAAATCTAACCGATCCAAAAGACAGATCAAATACTTCTAAAAGGAGTCTTGATATATAATTTAAAAAAAACTCAGCTTGCACTTTCGCCTGAGCAGAATCAAATCAAAATGCAGCGGGGTAGTAGAGGAGAATGAGAAAGGGCCTTGGCTCCTGAACAGCAGCAGTGCATGTTGGGATGCACAGGCTGAGCAGGGAGGAGCGCTTTGAGATGTTGGGGCATTGCTCCCTGGCAGGACGCCTGTGCCAGTGTTGGCTCTCTACCACTCTAGGAAATGTCTGCTTTGAAAGTTGGCAGGAGTTGGAATATATGATGGAACAGCCCCACAGGGTATTTGTGTGATAAATGGATAAGCTGGATAAAGTTATGCTCGTAGCTCATGGCTTATACACGAGAAAAAGCAGACTCAGACGGCACCGATGTTTCATTAGTTTTGTGGATATCATACTGCGGTCGCAGATTGTTCTAGTCATTTGATCTTCGAGCAAAAATTCTTTGAAATACAGTTTGTGAAATGACATTGCTAACACATTTCATATGGTAAATCAACAATTCCCTTCCGTTCCACGTAATTCAATTTGCAAATCTGAATAAAAAGCCTTTTTTTTTATACATTCCCATAGTATTTATTTTTTCAGGAGCAGGATTAGCGCATAATACTCTCAGCCTCCTGCAATGAAATATAAGTCGCACAGAATATCCATGAAGGTGGCCACTGCATGAAAATGAGTCTTGAATAGATTTTCTTCAGAGAGCACATCACGTTCGCTATGTGCTGCAGAGTTGGGAATCTAAATGTGATTCAGCATCTCTTGAATACAATTTACAGTCCAGTATGAGAGTCTTGATCCCTCAGAAATCTTTTTTCTGTCTCTTGAAGGCGATGATGAATTCTAATACCACCAACCGGGAGCGTCTGCTGCCTCATCCTGATGTGATAAAGAAGATGAAAACACACATTAGAAAACCGCATCTCCTTCTAAAACATGGTGGCTATTTATAATGCAGTTAATCTGATGAGGATTAGGCTGAGTTTTAAAGCTTGTCCGTTTTGAATGGCCTCCGAAATATCTTGGAAAGTGCAGAAATACTTGCTGGTATAAAGCTGCCTTCCTAATTCTACTGGACATGACTTATTAAGGTTCTTCTCACTGTGATTTCATATAACCACATTCATATACTCTCTGCGACCTTGACTGGGATTTTCAGGTTTTGAAATGCATGTGCTGTGAGGAGGTTCTGGTGAATTGGCTACTGATAGAATTTTGAAAAGGCAGACATGAGGAAAGGAAATGGAAAACTTAAGTGTAACGTGTTTCTTTTTTTTTTTTTAAGTGGCAAGAACTGGGACACTAGACGCCTCGAAAGGCAGATGGGAAAAGCAGTAGGGGGGTTAGCAATGAAAACTGTAGCTGGTGCACACATAAATGACAAAATAAACATAAAATTGAGAGCAACTGACAGTTCTTTTAAGGTAAAGGGAACAGATTAATGAAATAAATTCATCCGCAATCCCATCATAAATTAAGCCAACAAAACGGCTCACACTAATAATGTAGGCTAGCCAGCTAACATTGAGAAAGAGATACGCTAATGCTAATATTACTGCTAATTGTCTTCCTTACAGTTTGGTTTACATTCTGATAAAACCATCAAAAAAGTTGAATAGTGAGCTTTAGGGCTACTGGTGACCTGACTTTCTTACATTCGGAAAGATTAAGAGTAGCCATTTCCCTCGGTTTAATATGTATGCTAAGCTAAGCTAGCTTGCTGAATCTAGCATCATATTTTGTGAACAGACTTGACAGTGTCATTGATCTTTACGAATGGTTAATAGGAAAGTGAAAAAAGCAAATTTCCTGAAATGTTTAAGTATTCTTTCAAGCTTAACTTGAACAGTGAGTGACAATGAGAGATACAAGTTAATGTCTTTAATCAAGAATGTATTGTTTTGATGGTATTCAACAATAAAATACTGTTTATTTAGCCTATATCTTGCACACCTTGGAGGTTATAGTCGACACACCCTGAGAATTATACAACTATATTGTATAAAATTACAAATGTGACCACAATTGGAAAATAAAACAACTTCAAATAAATCAAAATCCGGGGCCAAAATGAACTATTGATTTCCTTTGCTCACACATAAAGCTATGGAAGAGTTAAACAGAGCTTACATAAACTCATACATACAGCTGAGCACCCCCGCTACGTGGAGCCGGCCAGCAGCGAGCCAACTGATGATGTGGCTGCATCATTACCCTCACCCTGAGAGAAGAGAGCAGGAAACTCTCTACCTAAGGCCTCACCATTCATACCCCCTTGCTCACAATTCAATTAGATGAATGTTGTTTATGGGCAGTTCTGGCCCATTGGAATGCCATTATTGATCCCTCTGTTGAATTCCGCATTAGCTAGCCTTCAGTGGAGCTGGTCTTCTAAATGTCATAGAGTTTATGACTTAGAAGATGATTAACGAATGTTTAGAGATGCTCAAGACACAGCTCAGCAGTTAAGGCTTTTAATGAAGGCTTTGAAGACTGGCTGCAGTCTAGTAAAACAAACTCACAGATCCTGTAATGGATTAATAAACCTTACCTGATCTCAGTTGTCAATATCCGATGCATGGTTCTCTATCTGAAAAGAAGGGGAGAGGGAAATAAAAGATATGGATATGATTTAGCGTTCAGAAGCGAGCAGGTTGTATTTAATTCTTTCTAAAAGGTCATGCTGGACAAGCGCAGCCTGAGAACATTCTTTGTGGCGTACATTATCACGATGTGTGATCAGTGTGACCTTCAGAAAACAAATAAATCTTTACCGCCATGTCGCTGAAAAATAATGTCTTCCATTAGCGGGGGCAGCAAGCTTTCATCAAGGAGAGCATGCCCGTACTCACCTGCTTAATGGCTAATAAATATATCATTATAGAGAAAGCATGGTCAAAGCCATGGCCAATGCAACAGAACAGAGGATGGAACCGAGGATAATTATTCAGATTTGAATGCAGTGTGGTATGAAATGAAGTGCTGAAAAATACTTTTTATATGCAGCAGTTTTTAAAAGTGAGGAAACAGAACACACAGTCTCTGTCTTTATACCAGTTCAATTTGTTACTTTTCTTGTAATCGGAACATTTTGCACAAGCAATTGTACAGCGTGTGCCTAAATCTGATGAAAATATTCTCTAATAGGATTCCATTGATTCTGGAAAAGTTCTACTTATACGAGTTTATTGAAATATAATTGTTGATGGCCATGTTTTTAAAGTTTGAGTACATTTTTCTGAAGAACATAAACATTTTGAGACCTGTCAAAATGAATTGATTTGGTTGAGATATTGGTAAAACATGTGAAATCTGTGAGTGGCTCTGTCTCTTTGAAGCTAAATGTTGCAGAATAATATGGTTTCTGGTGATCATCACTGAGAAATACATTTCAACCTAGTTTTGTAAAAACAAAGAACAAAAAAAAGGAAACTTGTAAACTGGTAGTAACACTGGTGTTAATTAGGTAGAAACAATTATAATCAGCATTCCTGAACACTATGAACACACCATTATACAAGAATTACGCAACACATGAATATGAGATTGATAATAAAATAATTACACTGTCAGAAAATGAGATAATAGACTTAAATTGACAAACAACTTTACTTTTGCAAATCATTTTTTTATAATATATAAAAGTGAAACCTTCCCAACAGCTCCAGTTGGCTTCTCCATACAGGTGCTACTTCCTCAGCAGCCTTGTGAACAGAAACCTATTTACACTATTTTACATCCAGATTCACACCGGTGGTCTTAAGCGCTCCTCTGTGTGTCTTGAGCCCTCTGCTTCAATTATAAGTTTGTGTGTGTGTGGGCCTGTGAAGAGTCTTGCTTCCAGTGTGATAGGGGGTCAACAGGGAGAAACTGTCAGTCCAAAAGCTCTCACCGTTCACTCATGTGAAGCTCGGCTCTCTCAGATCTGCGGCCATGAATAATTCTGTAAAATTAACTTTGGGAATGTGAATACTGTCTGCCCACTTGAGATCTCCCAAAGTGCCTTGCTCTCTGCCTCGCTGTCACGCCTGTCAGCCGTTTCTCTTACCAGATGGTGGTTGCCCTCCTCGTCGTACTCGTCCTCGCCTCCATCGGTCATCTCTCCCGCCTCCATCTCCAGAGCCCCGTCGCCCGCCTCCTCCCCAGAGTTTTCTGCCGTCTCCGACACAGACTCCTCATGCAGGGAGTCGCAGTTGTCCTCGTACTTTCTCTGAGCTTCTGAGTGAGAAAGAAGGGCAAAGACAATCGTTTTTGGCTCACACAGCAGTAAAAAAAAGTTGACATGGCTGCCTTTTTCTGGTTTTAAAACCTGTGCAGAAATGTGATGCCCTCACTATCGTTCCCAAGAGGACGTGTTGCTACATACGATCAGCTGGACAGAAGAGGTTTGACCTCAACAAGTGACAAATTGACATATGTCCATTGTCAACACTGTAATTTATCATCTAAAATGAAAGACACTGTTGCTAAATTCAGACAACCTGAACAACCGTAACGCAACCGAAGCCTCTATTTGTAGCTTTCCAGCTAACACCGATAAAACATGATTGAATAAAGTTTAGACACTGACAAAGGACCGCAGTTGCTGCTGTTGATGTGCCTCTTTCCATATGTAGGCAAGAAGTTAGCATTCTTGCGGGGAATATTTCTGGTATTTAACTCAACGCTACAATTTTGGGGAATTAAAGTGTTCTATGTAAACCATCAAAAGCTAATTCTGTGTCATTGGCATGAATTTGACAGTTTGCATTTATTTACATAAATAGTAAATGAGTATGTGTTTGTGTTCAAAACACTGCAGGATCTCTCGTCCTTTCTTTTATTTATCTTTGACCCTGAATGATAAAGCACCAGGATGACGGTGAATTCTGCTCAAGTTAATAGCCATGATAAATTGCATCATTAGAGCAGCTCATGACATAAAGTCCTGTGGGCTATATATAGGCCTACCACATTATGTTGTTGAACACATACTGAATTTTCCGTAGAAATAAAATAAATGATGAATCATCGTGCCGCCTAACCATAGTTAATCAAATATTTCTTCATGCTTCAAGCTGATAGCTTGTAGAAACAAACATCCATTTCGATCCAAAGGAAAAACTTTGATTTTGTCTGTTTATTTTCATATCTAGTGAAGTTTTCCCTTTGAAAAAAAACACAGTTTGCTGGAAGGATGAACAAGGATTTGTGTGATTTATTTGGTGATGGAATTCAAATATACAAAGATTGATAGCTCAAATAAAACTAAGCAAGCAAGCCTGGGAGAAAAATGGTACCATGAATGCTGTCTAAGTGACCTTCAATAGGACTGTCCTCTAGTGTCGAATATATATTAAGACCTCTCAAATAAACGTGGCGTCAGCGTGGCGTTGACACCTGTCTGCAGTTATGACAGAGAGCTCTACGGCTCTTATCTCCCAAAATGTCATGAAGACTTATGGCCAGCGTTTGCTCTTAATTCCCCTCCCTCTCTCCCGCTCTGATTCGTGTTGCTTCTCACCGGACTCGGCTCTCTGCTGCTTTTCGATCTTTTCCAGGCGTCCCAGCAAAGAGTCGATCTTCAACTTGATCTGAGTGAGCTCCCGCTTTATAGTCTGAAGCTGGTCCGTCTTCACTGCTGAGGGACGGAAACAAAAAAATACAGATTTATAGCTACTTTTAAGTTGTTCTCGTTTTATTCGTGCAGCCATTTTAATGACCGTGCTTCACACCGTTTTATCACAGACCGCATGCTGTCATCTGTTAATGCTCTTAGTTTTGGATATCATGTCTTCACTCTGAGTCACTCTATCCTCAGGGAGGAACATCTCATCTGGGCATCTGTAAAGTCACCCTGCTGAAAATATGGACCTGCTGCTTTCCATTTGAAGATTAGTGCACAGCTTACGCCCACCGTGCTGTGCAGTTCTGCTCAAGTTTTGCTCAAAAACGTCAATATGTGAACACACTCTATGCTGTAGTTCAGCTGGCTTTGGTGATTATATAAAGCAAGGGAATGTCATACACTATACAAAGTATCTGCTTGGATGTGCATATTGTGAAGGTCAGGTCAAAGACATGTATCTTACATTTGTAATCCTTCAGATGTTCATTTTATATAATTTTTAAAAAAAGTAGTTATGATCTACCTTTCAGCAGAAGCCATTTAATGTATTCATACTCTGTTAACACTTGGTCTGTTGTGATTGGTAAACCGCTTAGAGTTGTCCCGCCCCTTAGCCTATCACGTACAACGTGCTGGAGTGCTAGCCAATAGAAGTGCAAGTGTCATAGTGATGTTACTTTTTTACGAAAATGAACTAAATAGTCTAAATGAGGCGTTTCAGGCAGTGTGTGGGAGAAAAATTATTCTGCCGTGAACTTTGGGATTTAGCCTTTGCAGACAATTTTACATGCACAGAAACCTAAAAAAAAAAACTACAGGAAAGGGAATAAACCCAAAAAGTATAATAGTGCATCTTTAAAAGTAGTTTCCCAGGCGTAACATTGGACGGCTCTTGTTTTGAAGCAGTCCCAGACAGGCACTGTGAGCATATATACTGCAGTTGCTTTTTTTAAATGTTCAACAGAGTAGCTTCTTAAGAACTAAACAGTTATCAAGAATGAAGAAGAACTCAATAATTTTATGATTTTGTAACTTCTAAAAACTTAAACTGCTATTAGTAAACATGACTGTCAATGCTTCTTGAGTTTGAAGAATTATAAAAAGAAAATGCTATTGAACTGCTATCTGGAAGTGTGTCATTCCTAACTAACAGTGCAAACAACACAAAACAATTTCAACCATTTCTATAGCAAATGAAATAATTGGTAACATAATGTAGAGTCTTGTATTTAGGGCAAAACAGCACAGCTTGACATAAAGAATTATTTTACAGGCAAGCAATCAAAAATACATGAAATATGGTTTCTAAATATGCATGAATGTTGACCTGAGTAAAAAACACAGCCAACTCAAGCAACTGTCCCAGATAAGGGTCTCTGTGGCACCAAATGAAGTCTTCTTAACAAATTATTAAACAGGTATGGGACCCGTAAAATACCAGACTTAAATCCTAGCAGCAAATTATAAATGTGACACATGGAGTTCAGTAAAATAAATCTAGGATTCGTATGTGAAGAGGGAAAGCTGCTCATTCACTGCATGAAATATCCACATACAAGTATTTTGCAGTAAATGATGAATGACGCGCATCTAATATAACATACAGATAAAAAGTAGTTTTGTGTTTTCATCCAAACTTGAAAATGTTCACTTGTATTAAATTACATTGAAACATTAACTTAAACCAGTTTGTTTTAGTTGCTTACACTCACTTTCTGCCACTTTAGCAGACTACTGCCTCACTTAAAGTACTGCTTTAGAAACAGGGGGCACAATATGACCCCCCACAGTTTCTGTTTACTGCTTTTTGAATAATTTCTCTTCCCTTCTGCTTTGCCAAAGTTTGAGTCTTAACATCAATGCGTGAAAAACATCTGCTTAAAAATAAAACAAACAAATGCATCTGAAGGGCGTAACAATTAATTCAATGTGGACTGTATCACTGTTGCGGGTGTACTCGTGAACAGCTCTGAGAAGATTAAAGAATTTAGACCATAAAAAGCAATAAAATAATCTTATGCCTTAACCCACGGCAGCTGAAATGTGTCATCTTCAGAGAGGAAGGGAAAAACAGAAAAGCAGAAGTTGAGAAGAAAATCTGACACCTATCAGATTCTGTCAGGGCTGGAGAGAGGATGGATGAGTGTTCGGTAAACAAACCTACGAGTTTCCTGTAGAGCTGCGGATGGAAAATGAGGAGCAGGAGACATGCATAGAATCTTGTCAGGTATCATGTCGGCACGCGGCTCTTTAAGTGCGTTTCTTTGATGTATATTTACACCCACACCACATCACAATGCAGATCCACTCCTCATGTTGTTGCATAAAACATCTACGGTTGGAGATGTCAGTGCATGATACACATTTCAAAAAGATAAGCTGACTGTAAACTAGCATTCCAAAAAATAATCTTTCACACTAATTCAGAGTGAAAAACAACACTGCCCAGGTAAGATCCAATACATACTTTAGGCTATCTACCAAAACGTATTCAAAAACAGGATGATTAATGTGGGAAAGTGAAATAGGAAAGAAGGGGTATATAATGCCCCACTGAAAGCTATATTTGGGTAAATATCTATGTGAAATCACAAGAATGTGTCTCATGTTGTTTCGTAAAGCTGCAGTCAACTCTAAAGCTACAGGGATGCTGAAAATGGACTTTTTCTTGAGGGGAAAAAGGAGAAAATAGCAGTTAGATATACTCTGATATTACAATGGTGGGAAACACTGAAGTGTCTCTATCTCGGTGTACAAAGCAACATCCATAAATGCACACACATGTACACTCGCTTCCTTATTCCAACATTATCCCTGCTCGCTCTGGGCGGCTTACTTTGATGATAAGAATGTGTGGAACAGCTTTTAATTTATCTCCGCCTCCAGGTCTTTTTCCCTTTTGTGCTATCAGTCACATAAGCTGCAGAGAGACAACACACACATCCTTATCAACACAGCATCTTTAAATAGCCCGTTTTGAAGGAACAGGCGAAAATATTGCCATTGTTATTCAATAAGCATTATAAATAAGATTTATGGAATGAGTATTAGATCTGAGGATGTCTCAAATCCGTCTAAATATTTGACTTGCAGCTCTAGTTCAGTATCATGTAAGACTTATTTTGACTTATATTGAAACAAATTTGCTTATCAGAGAGGAATATGATTGTGACTTTATTAAAAAAAAATGTAAGTATAATTTAGGGGCTTGATCAAAATAGTAATTGAGGAAAATAAAAGAAGGAAACATTAGGAGAGCAGTGCAACAGTGAAATGAGTACTATTCAGAATAAACACAGGGTATTATAGACACATAAAGGTATCATTAAATAGTAAGTAAATCATATGATTGTGTAACTTTCTCAACACAACCAAACTTAAAGATTCATTCAGTCTTTCCTTAATAGACTGACAGAATGAGCCAAAAGCCAAATCTCTCTTCATACACTGACACTCAACACTGTGCGTCAAACAGCGTTTAATGTGGAAAACACAAATCTATCCATCTTCATGATCCTGCCTCTGACAGCTGTTTCCATTTCTCCCCTAAAGTGAAAAACTGCTTGAACAGACTATATAGTTTTAAAACTCCCTCCACTAGCCCTTCCCCCCTGTTTGGACACGCTAGCCTTATTGCACTGTCCAATCTATCTAGGCCAGAGTCAATACAAACAGGGATTTTTTTCCACAGGGGCAAATTAGTAACACACTGCAGTTTAGAAAGACAGGAGAATTCATCGACTCTGTCCAAAAGGAGGCTGTGAAATGGGCTTTTTTCCCCCTCTTCTGCTCTATAAAACCAACTGCAACTAGGTCTTCCTCACAGACCTTCCCAAGCTGCTCGCGCTGATAACACTGGCTAGACAGGCAACAATGGAATAAACACTGTAGCCAATTACACAGGCTACGGATAGAGACTAACGTTTAGGGAAACACAGCTGACCACAGATCCAAAGAGATGGCCCCAATCTCACATTAATTACATTTAGCACGTTATAATGCATCGCCAGTTAATCAGAGGAGCGAATGAGATCCAGATGGATCCTGGGTGACAGCAATAGCTCGCCGAATTAATAGTGCTCCTCGCAAAGCTCGGATTATATTTGTGTTTGCGATTTAGTGTTTTGCTCTACATTGCAGTGTGGCTTGTTGTGAGCTGCTGGAGTGAATTAAATAGCTTTTTATAGTGGCGTGGCGTAAGTAGCACAGCGGAATAATGCCAACCCTTTTCTCTCTTGGAGCCGTGTTTCTTTTTTTGCATTTTAAGGCTTCTTTTTTTCAAAAGGACAGAATGCCATTAGAGTAATTAGGCTTCGTTCTTTTGAAAAATCCATATTAAATCAAGTCAAATCTGAGTGTAAACACAAGATAAGTAGAAAGCACCTTATTGTACGTACCTTTGAGCCCGGAGGAGGACGTGGGAGGTCTGGAGGATGAGGAGGAGGAAGAGGAGGATGTTTTGATGGGGAAAGAGATCTTCCCGCGGCGGGAGGAAGGAGCGAGCACCCTGGAGCGCTTGACAGGGATCACGGCCCTCGGTGGGGGGGCCACTCTGCCATGGTAGTCAAAAAGCCTCAAGGAAAGAAAAAAAATCTAAAATATTACACTTCACTTCCCACACTTTTCCTATAAGTCACTGTCTTCTAAAAGATGTGCTAAAGCATCTAAAAGCTTTTCCATTTAGTTCACCATCACCTCTTTCTCAAGCCTGTTCCCAGTATTGTTTTTCAAGATACATTTTGTATGGATTTCTCTTGGGTTCATTCTCCGAAACGGCACCCGTAAAACAAAAGGCAGACTTTGCAGCTGAAATCGACCTCCAGCCCTCTTTCCAAGGCCGATACATGCATGCAAATATCCCTTTACATATCTTTTGAAAGTGAAGAGGCTGAAAAGAAGAGGGTGCTTAATGTCAAATGAAGGCGTCAGCGTTGACTGTTCTCAGTGACAGTAGGAGTCTGTCACAGCTCTCAACAAATTTGACATTTAGAAAGTGTCTCAACAGATAAGCAGTCAGATAACCAGCGGTTAAATGAGACCGAGGAAACAAGTGTCCTTCATCAGCCTCGAGTCGCATGCTTGATCTGATCGGACATTTTGACATGTTGGCTATTTCAAGGTGCAGGTGAGGATACTGAACTACATCTGTCATTTGAGACGTTTAATGAGGGAGTCATAAATAAAGAGGGAAGACCTATTGATCTTTAGCTAAACCACGCCCCTGAAAATGATTGTCCAATGCTCGGTCTTGCTTTGTATTTCTTTATGTTATGTAGAAAGAGCGTATTTAAAAAATCTTAGAGGGTGGTGAAAAACAGTTAACAAAAAGTGTACAGAGGTAGCAATCGTTAGCATACCCGGCTAACAATATTCGCATGGAACATATCTGTTACTAACAACATTAGTCTGTAGAAAGACATATTTTAAGAGTGTAATTTCAAAACATTTACGATTTATCAAGAATTGGTGATTGATAGATTACGGATTTCTTTGTTTTCTATGGAGCCAGTTCTTAGACAGAAGCAAAACAAATGTTCTTTGATTAATACAATCATTTTCAATCAATATTTTGTGTCAAATTATACATTTTTATTCATTAAAAAGCTGTGTAATAAGTGCGTTAATGTAGGTTATGTTGTGGATAATTCCAAAATAATGACAGTAAATTAGCTAGCTACCTCTAGTTTATATGATCAGCTTTGTTTTCCTCTGTCTTAAACTAAGAATGTTACGTTGTAAATGTACCCCAATTAGCATTGTAAACTGCATGTGTGTAGTTTGATAGCAACTACAACTAATGGAGGTAAGGCAAAGTTAACAGTCAGCTGTTTCCTTGTTAAATAACAAATGTGATAACATAATGTGAACAATACATACCTGCTGTAGAAGTCATCCCTGTAGTACTCGTAATCAAGTTCATAACCGCTAAGAGAGACAAGCAGGGGAAACAGACGGGGGAACAGATAAAGAAGAGATGACATCTGTCAAAAAGAAACTCAAGTTGTTTTGACTCAAACAGACATGCTCTATGTCTAAAGCCCACCGCAGGTTAGGCAGCAGGCCTAAGACACACTGGCATGCAAAGACCACAGATCAACAAAGAATCTAAATAAAGTTTCAGAGGGGAAATACAGTCGGGGAATGAAAGGAAAATAATTTTTTCTTAGACCCTGGAGAGGAAAATCAATGTTAAGTACACACTCAGGGTGGCAACTCATTTAAAATTCAGAGAAGAGGAGCAAAGAGGGAGCTGTTTTGAAATGCTGATAGTTGGAAAAGAAATGCTGTTTTGAAATGCTGCAAATTCTCACAGGAATTGTAATTAGTATTAATGTATTTCTATTTCAACTTGAAGTGGTGTACTGTTGTTTTTGCCACTCTTGTTCCTGTTCCGTAATTGCTATATTACTTCCTGGTGGGTTTCAGCTGTAGCTATCAAATGCAAATGAGGGTTTATGGTAAAACAATGCATAAACTAATGCATTTGTAAACAAAGATGTGCAATAGAAGAAACCAACAATTCAGAAAGGAGTAAATTGGAGGGATTAAAAACTTTTTTGCCATTGGACACACCATCTGAATACACAATAAAGTGTCCCAGTGAATAAAAAAAGCCTCCGTCACATCAGCCTGCGGTAAACAAGCACTGCTTTGATCTGTGTGTGACCAGGAGATGTGAACGGGGCAGAAAATCAGGGTCATGCTTAATGAAGCTTACACAACAGCATCTCCTCTGAGCTTTACAAACTCCAGTCAGTGCTGAAAATATGGAGAGCATTAAAAACTCAATTAGAAATTCAAGGCTCAAACATAATAGAAATCCTCATATTCAAATATTACTCTACATTTACATGAGCGGGAACAAAGCAGGGTGTGGAGGAGAGTTTATATTTATGGCTGCAGCTCCTCAGATGAAGGAGTATGGATGGTCAGATCTTACCTGTAAACAGCTGAGAGCGGCCTCTTGGAGCCTGCTTTGGGCCTGTAGGGCTTCGGCTCGCCCGCCATGTTTATGTCTGCAAAAACACAACAACAGACAGAAAACAGGTCAGCAATACTGAAAACGTTATAATAATAGGTTTTGGTAAGACTTCATTGAGCATAAACAGGCATTACATTGGAACACATTATTTGTAAGAACATAGCCATTGTTTTTTTCTTTTAAATTGGACTCTTTAATGTGAATATGAATATTTGAGGGGCGAAAAAATGAAATAATAATAACGAAAGAAGGGGAAAAGAATAGTGCTAAACCTCACATTTCCTCGAAAAGCTATTGAGTGGCTAATAAGATTAAGAATCAGAATCAGAAACAGGTTTATTACCAGGTAGGTTAACACGTACGAGGAATTTTACATACACATAAAAAAACTATTTGAAGAAAACTATAATAACATACAAAAATTGTAAAAAATATAGTAAAAAAATTGCAGTATTTACTTTGAATATGGTTGTTTAGTAGTCTTTACTGTATGTATTATATAAAGATATCTGAAATGTGAATTATTTCATAATTACATTTAGAGATTACATTATTTCTATTACACTATTTGTACTTAAAAGTGTTGACATTTACTTTATTCACAGGGAGACATGTCCTTAAATCTGATTATTACAGCATTATATTGTGTTACTTATTTGTATTACATTTTTATATACTCTTTATTGATGCAAAATAATGGGATGAAGTCAATTGTTTCAGTTTATATAACCTTGCTCTACAGTATGATGGGTTTTATCGGTTAATGTCTATAACGTCTCTAGCCGCAGAGTAACCTAGTTTAAAAGAGGAGAACTGTGTCAATGCGAGTGAAAAAAAACATTCTTTCTCCAAACAGAGCTGGCTCATGATAACATTAATGGTTCTGCGTTATAGCTCAAAGCCCTGGCTGAGCACAAGGCAGAATAAAAGTCCCCTCTTCATAATAAAAAGAGAGTAAAATGAACTCAAGCTCTCAGGAACCTCTGTGCCGTTCCATTGTAAAGATGAGCTTTTCATGAGACATTTGAATAAGCAAATTACAAAGCTGCAGTACTGTAGGACATATAGTGCTAAAGGTGCACCACTGCGAGAGCCAATTTTCTGAGACAAGACTGGAGACCTTGCTACCGTGCACCGGAAAGATTACAAAATGGAATTCTTGTTGTGAGGCAGGAGAGAATCCTTAAACGCATAAAAACAATGAAAGAGAATAAGCATATGAAGAAGAACTTGCACTGAGCTGGATGTTCCGGGAGCTTTGATTTATAGCCGGCTGTTTGTTCTTTGTGTATAAAAAGATACCATCAGGTTTGGTGACAAAGCCAGTCAGTGATGCGGAATTTTACAAAACGCTATACGTGCCTTGCCAAGGGTGTTGCAAGGTCCTTGTGGTTTGTTTTGAGTGGCTTCCGGGAGAGGAGCCAGTGGGTCAAAACAAGCCGCCGGTCCAAAGAAAAATACTCAAAGGCGAGGACAATATTCCAGAAACCATATGGATGCAGTCATGAGGCTATAACCACAATGATAGGGAATGATGCAGGAGTTTTTTAATCATCTTAAAGGTCCCCTATTATACTCTTTTTCATCAATATATTATACGTCTCAGATATATACAAAACATGTCTCTGAACTGTTTTGCTCGAAATATCAAACAGATCGTGCATTCTAGCATCCCATAAACCCCTCTGTTTCAGCCCTGTTTCAAAAGTGCTGATTCTCTGTCTGTTACTTTAGATGAAAATAAGGAGCCACTCCCCACGCCCCTCTGAGAGATATAAAGAACACAATGGTGCTCTAGGAGGAGATTCAGGTGATGAGGGGGGGGGGGGGTGTTACCTTGGTTGGTTATTGGCTAATGGGTACACAAGCCAAAACATCGTTATGACATCATAAAGTGGCCAAAATCTGATCAGCTCATTTTCAGACAGCGTTTTATATAAATGGATCAGGACAAAAAGCGAGCAAATCTTTTCTCCTGAAACTTTCAGAATATCTTTACACAGAGGGGACTCATGTTTATGTATAAAAGACATGAACAAGTGGATTTTGCATAATAGGTGACCTTTAAGTCGCAAAAGTAGCATTCAGAGGTTAGATATGAGCTATACAGTCAAAACAATGCGCTGAGGATTCTTAAGAATCTAAATGATAAATAACTTAAATACTTTATGTCAGAAGGCAGAAGAATTCAATCATGTGCTTTTTTAGATTGTCTTGGATATCACCATTTGTTTTGCAAGCATCTACATGCAGCAAGGTAATCTGAAGAGCCATTTCATAGCTATGAAAATTACAAGGTGCCCTTCAGCGACGATACCCAAACCCAAGTGCCTCCGGGGTACATGGATTACTTAAAAAAGCACTTCCTCACAAATTGTTGTTTTTCGCATTCGGCCATGTTCTCACTATCATGTTGTCCCTACAAGCAGCACACATTTGCATGAATAATGTATGCGCCTGCCCTGCCCCTCTCCTTCTCATCCAAATACCAAACAAGTGGAGGCGCCCAGATCCCCCGGAGAGCAACTACTGCACTGTGGTGAAAATAAGCCACAGGCAAACTCATGCCTCTCTCTCACAGTGGCTGCTCTCACAAGAAATAGGATTAAACCCTGCTGTTTGTATACGACTTACTTAGACATGCTAAAACACAGACTTGTTTCACAAAGTTGCATGACCAAATGAGTGCATAAGTGTGGATATGGACGAGTGGAAGTTGAGATTAAGTGGCAACAGCTAACGAAGAAGTGAAGCAAACAAGGAAGTGCCAAAAGTTTCCCAAATGGACACTAGCTGACGTTGAAGCAAGTCAATCCCCCTAGACCCCTATGCTAAAATACCCAACTTAACACCAGAAAAGAACATGTTTACAGCCTGGTAAAACTAATTTAGACCAACCCTTTAATTAGCCCATACCAATCGAGCAAAAATATAATTGGCATCCAAAACCTCAAGCGATTTCTAAAAATCCCTGACCCCAGATGCTGTTTTCAGACCAGAGTCAGTGTTACTTTATGGGTTCTCTGTTGAGCCAAATCATTGGTATTCTGTCCAGCTAGTGCATCTAGCAGAGGAGAGCTTTTGCAGACTTTGACTGAGGCTGTCAGGATGTGTCTGGTTTAAGAGTTCAGTCCACTCAAACGATCGATACCACATTTTTCGGCAGGGTAAAAGTTCAATGTAGAGCTAAAAAGCTGCTCATAAAGTAATTATAATTAGTCTAGACGTCAATCCAGACTGCAACTAAAGATTATTTCTGACTGTTAAATCTGTCTTTTTTTTTTTTGGATCAATAAATTATAGTCTAGTCTATTTAATATTGGTTAGCAGCAGAAACTGGCGAATATTTGGCATTCTTGCTTGATAGATCTCTAAAACGAAGACATGATTATGTTTTGGTTGTGTTTGTCTGTCAAACCTATCAATTGAAATCCAAAACGGTTGGTTTTCTTGGTTTAAACTGTAGTCTACTAAAAAAACATTCAGAAATCAATCGAAAAACATTCAGAAATATCACTTCTTAGTGTTTTGGTTTGTAACCAAAGGCATTGTTGCACATAATAATGACCATCACAAAAACTGTGGCACACTACTTCAGAGGGGGTTCTATCAGAAAAAGATGGAGTGTATAAAACACATACTGTGCACATAATATCTTTAATTCCATTTGTATAAACGGCATTGGAGGAACTAACTGCTATGCTGGTAATGATTACCTCTGATGCAGCTTTTAGCAGAACATTGTGTATCTGTGCAGCACTAAAGGCTGCGTTTGATATGAATGAGATGTACCCAGGGTTAGGGACCACATTTGTGTGCTTTACTCAATTATCCTCCTCTTTCCTGTACCATTGGTTGGGTCGGAGCTGTCCGTGGTGCTGAACAAAGCGGCTCTATTGCGGCTTTCACACCAGCGCTTTTCCCTTTCTAGCTCCTAGCGAGAGCTTTTCTGGTTCAGCTCCGGTTTCCCTTTTCAGCTCCCGCTCTGTTCACACTGCCCAGAGCTGCCGCTGCTGCGTCATGACGTCACAGTTTACGTCGCTGATTTTCCTCCCACAACAACAACGGGCCGGGGACTGCGTCGGGTCGATGATCGTGTTGCTTTTAATCATACGAAGCCAGATTAAATTAAATAACGACTTCTCCAACCTTATACTTTTCTCCAGAGTGCCGTGGTTCATTGTTTATTAATGTGTTTCAGCGGCATTTACCGACCGCTGCAGTGCTGGCTGCACTTCCACGGGAGTTTATTCTCCCGTTAGCTCCGGGTTAGCTCACACGGCTCTAAAGTATTCACTGTCTGACTGTCACACAAGCAGCTGATACATATCCCCAGTTCCCCTTAAGTGAATGTGTGTCAGTCTGAATTGACGCTGTTTGGCATCACAATGCTGTAATGAAAGTTTCTCTGGTATAACATGGGTGCTGTTAGCATAGCAACCGAAGCTAAACTGACTACTTGCTAAGCCGTTTTTTTCATTATGATTCTACTTGTGATAGTCGGACATGACAACCTGTACAGCCCATGTATCTCCACAATGATCAATAACAGCGAACGGATGGTCAAAGTAAGGTTTCCTGCACGCCTCGACGTAAGAGACGTAAGCGACGCCGCGTCATAGCTTCGAAGCTCTTGCCTCTGGACCGACAATTTTTTGGAGCTGGAAGTGAACCGCATTCCGGAGCTATGACGCGCCGCCGCTGCGGTGTGAACAGGAAAAACCGGCACTTTTCCAGCTCCAGCTCCGAGCAGGAGCTGGAAAAGCGCCGGTGTGAAAGGGGCATATAAGGTGTGTTGCAGAAAAACCAAAAGGACTCGACCTGCTGCGCGAGCATACACATGATGCAATTTGTATTTTGCAGCCGTGAAATTATTTATAGATATGCTATTGACTTGTTCTATCTCTCAGAGAGGGCTGTTGTCTGTCTGTATATAGATACTGAACAAACACAACACTGAATAAATATGTAAGGCGCGACTGTTATTGGCTCAGAAACCGTGGGAGAGAAAAGGTTATGGAGGTAAATTGCCGT